TCTCAAATTTGGGGGGGGGGGGGCATTTTTAAAAAAATAACAGGTTCGTAGGTTTTAAAAAATAATATTCAGTATTTTTAATACAAAACTAGAGTTTTTAATATAAAAGAAAGAAAGCCTTTTAGATATATAAATAAAATAATAATTTGACTTACTTAAAAATGTGTAGATAAATAGTTTTCATAACTTTTAGTTTTTCATTTTTTATTCCGACATTAAAAAAATTGCTCTCTTTTCCTTAATTTGTCTAAGTCAATCTTTCTTTTTTTCGAATCTCTTCATATTTCAGAAAATCCTACATATTTTTTGTATTTCTCTTTGATATTCTTACTCATTTCTTTCTCCGAGATTTCATTACTCACCTTCTTTCTCCAAGATTTCACTAGTTCAAGTGTTCAGCAATACTTTTAAGCTTTCAATAGTTCTATACTTTTATTGCTTTGTAAAATCTTATCTAAGATCAACAAGATCTCAAGATAGATTAAATAAGCTGGCTATATTATTAATCGAGCAAGAATTATTAGAGAAAATCGATTATAAAAAAAATTATTAACAATTTTATATATCAAAAAGTTAGAAGAATAGACTTCAAATAAAAACATATTTTATAACTTTCTTTTAAAAATTTAGGCCTCATATTAAACCTTGACTTTAGGCCCCATATGTACTTGAGCCGCCCCTGATCCTTTGGAAAGATATTTTCACTATATATATATAGTCTTCTATGCCTACACGAAGAGATGATCTATTGTGTTTTTATAGCAATGTTACATACCATAAATTACCATTAGACCAAAACATTTGATCTCTGGGGAAAAAAAGAGTTAGCTCACAGTTGGACAATGGATTCTTATGAATTTCCTCTGCAACAAAAAGCAATGGCGAGATTTAAACCAGAAGGACCTGAGGAAAGACTGAAGTAAAAGTAGTAAAATGAATGTTAGACCAAAAGGCTTGCATATGCATATTTCAAAAGCTACAAGAAAACAATTCACAAGTTCTCAAACAAACAAGTGAATGAACATTTTATTCATACAAATGCTTATTAGTACAACATTTTCCTCGCGCAGATCTCAGCGCTGAAGCTAATTCAGTACATTGTACAAAATATACCCTTCTCTACGATAGAATCAAAATATACCCTTCTCTACGATAGAATCAAAATATACTGATCACGCGTTGTTTAAGTGGTGTTGACCTGTAAATTTATGCCTGTTTCTTTTTCTCCTTCACATAAAAGTAGTTCCTCTGAAAGTAAATAATTGCCAATACCAAATGCCAGAAGCTTATCTCAGGCCATAGCGCCCGAGGTGAATATAGAAGACAATGTGCGCTCTGCCACAAAAGAAAGTTGCTCAAGCGAGTTCCTCCAGAAGTACGGATTATAACATCAGGATCAGCAACACCAGCCATGTACATATGCCTGTCAATATCCGCTACTCCAATAAGTTGCTCAAGCGCGTAATTTCCAGTATTACTTGCATCTTGTTCTCTGATCTCGTCCTGTTTTTCTTCACAAGATTCTTGAACAGCACGTGCTATCTCGTCTGTTGAAGTGTAGGCAACACAAACAGATAATACAGCCTTTGAGTTTCCTGCTGTCTTTGCCATTGCCATCTCAACTGATGATCTAACCGGTTCACTCAAAAGCTTTAGGTTTCCTCGAAAATAAATCCTAATACCAAGGCGGTTCACTATACTCTCCTCTGCAATCAATTCGTCGATCTTCTCTTGCATCAACTCCATAAGGGATTGAACTTCTTCAGGGCGTCGTTTAAAGTTATCAATGCTGAAGGCATATACAGTAATCTGTTTCATCCCTAGCTCGTAACAGTATCTTAGCACGTTTATTAGAACGGAAAATCCAGCACGATAGCCATCCTTTTCGAGCAAATTCTTCTTCTTAGCATATCTTCGGTTTCCATCCATAATGAATGCAATATGACTTGGAACAGGACCTATCGAAAGCACAGAAAATATACATTTGCGAATCAAGCTGCTAAAATTGTCAAATAATCCTGCTTTTTTATGGTTCTCTCTTACCATATCCATGCTCGAAACTTGTTCGAGCTGGATCCAGAAGCAAGATCAACCTAATGAAAGCAACAGAGAATTCAGCTCAACTAATAGAAGATGATAAAGTGAAAATTAGAGCAACACTTAAACGACGATCAAGTGTCATGCGCATGCAGAAGCTAGTAAAGCAACACTTAAACGACGATAAATCAGACAGCAGAAGAGAAATATAACAAAAGACACGCAAACATTTAACGTGGTTCGGCCAATTGACCCACGTCCATGACGGAGATGAACAATCCACTATAAAAAGAGAATACAAAATATCGAGAGAACAACTTCACAAAGAGACAAACACAAGTTGCACACTAAAACTTGCCCCGAAAAGTTCTCCACCTAAGCAAGACTGTCAAATCCCTAATGATCCTTAATTTGTAAAAGTCAAAATATTTTCCTCCAAGAAAAAGAACTAGCCAAATATGGAAGAATTATATTTTCCTTTTAGTAAAAGGAAAAAAAAAATTATGGTAAATATGTTGTCCTTCCTTCAACAAATAAGAAAACCAAATATAGTAAGAAAATCAGGACAAACACCTAACACATATATGCACTTCTTGTAAATAACAAATCCAAACTCAACATAAAGAAGTTAATGCTACTATAATTATTCCAAGAAAAGTAGTCCTTGAAATACAAGAATGAGTTATCGTTACCTACCTTTAGTGTGCATTAACAGTACGTTCTTTACTGCACCAATGGCTCAGTACACCAAGAATGTACACATAAACTATATTTATAGATAAACTATATTTATAGACACAGAAAATTAAGAATAGGCCAATGAGATGACATCATGGTTGTTTGTGGCCATTTTCTCCGAAATTTCTATATAGACTATTGTCATCATTGGACTATTTTAAAGTTTACGTTTTGGTATGGGCAAAACATATTTTTCCATGTTACTAATCACTCCGTCCTGATTTTATTTACGTAGTTACTCCCTTCTATGTCAACTTACATGATGCAAGAAAGAAATACTTTTGAATATAGACTTAGATATGTTATAATAATTTTGAGCGAAAAATTTATAAATGGCCAGTTTTACGCCTGGTCAATTAAATTTAGCCACAAAATCAAAGGTCAACGAGATTTAGCCGCGAAGTTAGCACGGTAACAATTTGTTGACTAAAATACCCCTACTCTGTTTTTTTAAATTTACGCGACTTGACCTCATATTCTTCTTTAGCACAATCTTGCGGCATCAATCTGCAAATCCAAGTAAGCTCTCTCAATTATTTGTCTGATTGTTTGAATTTAACTAATTTGAATTTCTTCTACAATCACAAATTGAATTGTGATAATCTATGATTCTTCTCTTTGTAATTCAAACCAGAAAATTCAAAGTACCAGTAAAAAATTTTGATTCTTCGAATTTTCTGGTTTATTTTTAATGCTTTAATCTGTGTTAATGTCTAATTTTCTCAATGCGTTAATATGTGTTTATTTGTATTATATACCTTCTTTTCTGTAATTTAGATCGTAACTAATAAAATCTACATTGTTCAAAATCACAAAAAATAATATAAAATCTCGCAAAACATAACGCCAGTATAATTTGCTGGACCTTTCTAAATTAATATCTAAAGTTGAGATACTTCCAGCTTATTATACTGGAAAAATCTCATAAAATGGTTTTATAGTGCTTGATTCCAAATGAACAAAACCAAGTATAATATGCCGGAACTTTTTGTATTAATCTGCAAAATTCAAAAAGCTACAATGTATTACACTGGAAGTATCTTTCATCCAAACTACTATAAAAAATTGTAAATAAAATGGTATAGAACAAAACACCAGTATAGAATATTGGACGTTTGTTAATTTAATATGTAAAACTTAGACATTTCTAGTATATTCTACTGGAAGTATGTGTGACTGCAGTAACCCCATCATAATAAGCTGGAATTTACTTTATTAATATGAATATACCAAATAATTCCAACTTATTATACTGGAGTTATATTTTTAAACAGTATTACTTCTAAATATCTTATTATTTGGGTTCATTAATGAATGGAAGTTACTCTAATAAACTATCCCTCACTTTTAATATTAGTAACTAGTATGAACCTAGCGAAGTGGAGGATACATGGACTAAAAGCTAACATCATTTCAAGGAAAATAATAATTACTAGTAGGGAGTAATATTCAAGAAGCAATAGATTAACATTAAAACGTGTAAATGCAAATGTAAATACAATGCGGATAAGAGGTATTCTACGTGTTAAGACTTCTTGGTAACTGATGTGCCAAAAAACTAAACTATATTATAATATTCATCTAGTATAACATACTGGAAGACAAACATTCACATGACAGACTTCTATTATAATATACTGGATAAAATTTTACTAAATTTAATAAACAAAAAATATAATCAAAACCCACACATTAGACGTCTACTATTCATACACAGCAGACGTCCCGCAAAAATACTGGAATTAAACAACGATTACAACATAAAACTAATAACATAGTTACAAAATTACCAGAAATAAGACAAACTAATGAACAGAGAAAAAACCGTAAAAGTTAAAATACAACAAATATTTAAAACCTAACGGTTCAAAATTAAACCTAAAGAACCATTAATAACAACGAAAATTCAAACACATTATCGTAAAAAACAAAACTCACCCATAATTTTGAAGAAAATTGGACCTAACCCAGACAAGATTCGAAGAAAAGTGCTCTCTCAAGAAGCGAAATCCGTACAACTGCCGTAAAACAAAGAGAAGGCCGATAAAAAGTAACTAAACAGTATGTTAAAAGGGTCAAGAACAATTATGTCATTTACTAATATATTTTAAGTTAAAATGACTAGAAATCAATTACAGATAGCTGGCTATTTAAAAGTGACTACGCCATACAATTTTATCCTAAAATACAGTGATTTCTGAAAATTTATCTTGCAAAATACTTCTCGGGTGGCCCAAGATAGGGACGATAAAGAAAGGCCCAGTGTTTGGAACTCAAAGGTAAATATTCTATTGTGGAGCGGACAGGACGGGGACACAACCTCAATATTCACGTCGCCGCCGTCGCTTCTCCGGTCTAGGTTTCCGATCATGAGCTCGTCCTCCGATCAACTTCCGCCACTTACACTTCGCACTGTTTCTATATCATACTCCGAACTCAGGGACAGAAACGCTGATTTATCGGCAAAAATAGAACAAGGTTTTGGGCCAAATGGTTTTGGAATTCTCTCCATATCAGAGGTTCCAGGTTATTCATTATGGCGTAAGAATCTCCTCCAACTTGGGCCCAGGTTAGCCAACCTTCCCGAAGATGTGAAAATGGAACTTGAAGACCCTAATAGTAGGTATAATTTTGGATGGAGTCATGGAAAAGAAAAACTCGAATCAGGAAAATTAGATCTTTTAAAAGGATCTTTCTATGCAAATCCAATACTAGATGTACCTACAACAGAGCAATCCTTAATTGAACGGTATCCATCATATTGCGGGTCAAATATTTGGCCTCGTAAGGTTTTGCCCGAATTGGAAACAGCATTTAAAACCCTTGGAAAGTTGATACTTGATGTAGGATTGCTCTTAGCTTATCATTGTGATCGCTATGCAATGCTAGAGGGTACTGAAGGCGGACTTGAACGTACACTAGTTCGCTCTAGATGTCATAAAGGTCGTTTTCTTTACTATTTTCCAGCGCAGCATGGGCAACGGACTGCTGATGCCCATGATTCCATGTCATCATGGTGCGGATGGCATACAGATCATGGTTCACTTACAGGTCTTACACGTGGCATGTTTTCGAGAAATGGTGTAGGAGTAGTTTGCCCTGATAGTGCTGCTGGCCTTTACATAAGAACGCGAACAGGTGAAATAGTTAAAGTGGAGTATGGGGAGGATGAAATAGCATACCAAATAGGTGAAACAACTGAGATCCTCTCAAGTGGTCGGCTTTGTGCGACACCACATTGTGTTCGGGCACCACAGGGTGAGGGTGATGCTGCAGCTGGTGTTGATCGTACAACGTTTGCATTATTTATGCAACCTGATTGGGACCAAAAGCTTAATTTTCCAGAGGAGTTGCATATTCATCAGGAATTGATTCAATCCAATCGATCTCTTACTTTTGGAGAATACACTGAGAAGCTCCTTGACAAGTACTACCACCTCAAGATGTAAAAATAGTTGTTATGAGAGTAGATTTGAAAAGCTCCTTCACTCTGATCTAGTCTAGGATAGATACATCGAGCAATATGCACTATGCAGACACTTGCTTATAATTGCGAAGGTGATCTTCTGAACTGGGGTTTCGACATTCTGATAAAGACAGGAGAAAAAAGGTCAATGTAGTACAAGTTCTTGTCCTCCTTACAATAGCTAGTTGATTAGGTCTTGGTAAATCATTCTTTCAACACCTTCATGTACTCGAAAGAACCATATTTTGATGTATATGTGGAACAGTAGCAATTGGTTTACCAAAACTAAAACTCTGTTCTTGAGCTTCTATCAATTCTAGAAAACCTTTTTTATTCCAAATGTTTTCATAAAGCATTTGAAAGCAGACACCCTCATAAAATGAATTGCAACTGCCTTTCTCGGACAACAACTCTGCTAAAGTTACCATTTACATGCAGAGGGGAAGGCAATTCTTCAGAAGTTCACTGGCAAAAATAGGTCTTTCCGCTCTTGGTACACGATCGACTAAGCAAATTCCATGTGTAGAAAATTGAATACAAAGCAAGCAGTGTTGTAATCTATACAATGCATTTTTACAAAGGCCTTACAGAATGCAGATTAGATTTCTTATAAATTCAAATAATGAAATCAACTGGTAAACATGCTGCTGGTAAAGGTGGTAACAATCTTTTGCAATCTAACCAAAACAGACTAGTTCAAGGGAAAGAAGTCTAATACTAATAAGAAATCATGATACACTGGTATATGAACTTAAAGAGAGCAAATCAACCGTGCACCTTTGGTAGAGGTGGAATCCAGGATTTGAACTTTATTGGTTTGGGTTTCACATTCTACCACATCCCATCTATTCTACTAGACAAATACAAATCTATTATTTGTAACTAATCCAGTTATTTTTTTTTTAAAAATACATCTATAGGGCCTAAACCAAAGTTACTAGGATGAGATAAACCCATAGCTTATTCACTAGATCGCCCCTGATCTTTGAAAGTCACTGGCATTACATTAGACTTTACTTCCCTAGGCAAGATTACTGGGAAGAGACAGATGAGATTCGAAGCTTTTCACTCACAAATTAGTTGGGATTGACTATATGGATCTTTTGTATACTCTCTCTACAGAGGTACAGGAAGATAGCATTTTCCGTAAGTCACTTTGAACATCATGCAACGGCAGCAAGTATAGGCTCTTCTAATTCTTCAGATAAGGAAGAATCTGACATGGCCTGCTCCTCATCAGCAGTCAAATGACCAACATTCGGGACATAGCCAGAGAGCTTCATCAGTTTAGTTAGTGTATTCAATATCAGATATATCTCTTTTTTCTGCATATGTCTCCTATCTTTTACCATGAAAATATGAACCTGGCTTTCTATTGCAATCCAACTGCAACCAGGCTGTTTAACAACGCCACGCTCTCTCATAAGTTTTCGGACCATTTTGACATCTTGCCATTTCCCCTGTTCAGCATACATGTTTGATAGAAGAACATAGGGGCCAGAATTTGTAGGATCAATCTCCAGAAGCTTCTCAGCCACATACTTTCCCAACTCAATTTCCCTGTGAATTTTACATGCAGCGAGCAAAGACCCCCATACCACACTATCAGGAGACATTGGCATGGATTCAATCAAATCCTTTGCCTCTGCTAAGCAACCAGCCCTGCCAAGTAAATCGACCATGCATGTGTAGTGGTCCTTCAACGGTGACAACCCATGCTCTGTGCTCATGGAATAGAAATGTTGACGCCCCTCCTCAACCAATCCTGCATGACTACATGCACAAAGAACCCCAATCATAGTCACATGGTCTGGCTTCTCTCCGTATACCAGCATAACCTTGAAAGTTTCAAGAGCTTCAATAGCATGCCCATTTTGTGCATATCCAACTATTACAGCATTCCACGAAACCCAGTCTCTGTCCAGCATTTTTGTGAATACACAGCTACCATCTTCAACTGATCCACATTTCATATACATGTCTATGAGAGCATTTCCCACAAAAACATCAGACTCAGGTCCATTCTGAAAACGAAATCCGTGCTTCAAAATATGTGCATGAGCCTGCCTACCAAGCTTCAGGTCAGCTAAATTTGCACATGCATTGAGGAGATTCCCAAATGTATAATGAGTTGGCCAAACAGACTCTCCTTTTAGCATAAGAAACAGATTTAATGCCTCCTCATTGTCCCCGTTCTGTGTGTATCCAGCAATAAGAGCATTCCAAGACACAACATTCCTTTCAATCATCCCCGAAAACATGGCTCTTGCAGTCTTCACACTTGCAACTCTCGCATAACCACTTACTAAACAGGTGTGTGACACCACGCTTCTGACTGGCATCTTATCGAAAATCCACCTAGCTTCATCAATTCGCCCAAACTTTGAATACATATCAACCAATGCATTGCATATAATAAGATCATCCCTAAGCTTATTCGACTTCACAATCCGGGCATGAATTTCCTTACCTTCTCTTATTGCACCCAAACTCGCACAAGCACTTACTACACTTGCCAAAGTCTTCTCATCCGGTTTATACCCAAAGTCCATCATCCTAGCAAATATCTCAAGTGCATTGCTTGCTGGCCCATTTTGCTCATAACAAGAAATTAAACTATTCCACGACACCACATTACACTCACTCATCTCATTAAACACCTTTGTTGCACAATCCACATTGCCCGTTTTCGCATACATATCAATAAGCGCAGAACCCGTGTAAACATTGTTTGAATACTTGGATTTAGCAACCGAGGCATGAATCTGAGTTCCCATTTTCAAGTCCCTTAAACCTGCACAAGTACTTAAACCACTACCATAAGCATACTCATTCAAAACAAAATCTTCTTTGTGCATTCTCGCAAAATACACTATCGACGAATCAAACAATTCACATTGAGCAAAGCTTGACACCATCAAGTTCCAAGAGCATTGATCAGGCTCAGGCATTAAGTAAAAGAGTTCCTCGGCCTCAACAAGCAATCTTGATGCTGTATAAGCATTTATCATAGAGTTCCAAGTGAAGGTATTCTTTTGGGGCATTTTATCAAACACCTTCTTGGCATACTCGAATTCACCGCATTTCCCATAAGCGTCAATTAGCTTGTTGTTGATGAAAACCTCTGAACTGAAATGGGTCTTGAGAATTTGGCCATGGACAGCGCGTACGACATGTTGGGACTTGGAATTGATGCAAGAGTCTAGAATCTCTGCGAACGGTGTAGAGTTTGGGAGCGAAAAGAGGTTGCAAGTAACGAGATTTTGAAATAAAAATGTCTTCTTTGCCATTTGGCATAGGATTCAAGGAAGATTGAGTGATGGGCATATTGCTCAGAAGAACATCAGATATTCCAACACAATGAACGTTGTTCCGAATAGTTTATGCACAGATTTCAGTGTTGTCTCGGTTAACTGGAAAAAATTTGGTTGGAGCTTTCCCTTTTTAACGAGTTTTAGCCTTTAGGCCATCAAATTCAAATTAATCCATCCAATACTTTTTGCTTAGGCTAAGTAGTAGAGGAAGTTTTTACTAAGGACACCTATTTAAATTTTGTTGGCATTAATAAAATTTTAGTATTTGTAGGCTTTCGTCAGAAGTAGAACTACTGTCTTCTCCTCCTCCTCCTCTTCCTCCTTTTTTCTTTCTTTGTTTATTTCTTTCAATAAATTATGAGCATACAATTAAAATTTAAAAATAATACTCGAATTGAGCGGGTTAATGTTCAATTGAACCTATAATTTCTATCACGAATGATTTGGTTTGTTTTGGTCGGAGAAAGTTATAAAACACCATTGTTTGATTTTTTGAGCTTGGAAAAAACTTGTTAAAGAAGAAAAAATTGGTCTATTGAATTTTGAAAGTTAGGTTAAATATAACTATTGAAAATTGTTAGCATTGGTATTAGAAAAATAGTATATCAAATTTGAAGTCACTGATAGTTGATTTGGATCAATTTTGAAGCAAACATGTGTTGTAAATTTCTATCTTGTTAGCCCCCGAGCCTGACCTCAAACAGGGGACGTTCATGGTTTGAGATTCAAATTCGGGTCGAATCTAAGGATCATGGTCGGGGGTCAGGATCGGGGTTCGACGTCGAGGTTGGGGTTGAGAGTCGGGGAATTGGGCTCCGAGAATGGGATTGGGGTCTAAGGTCTGGGGTCAGGGTTTAGGGTCAAGGCTCGGAGGTCGGGGGTTAGGGAACATGGTCTGAAGTTTGTTACTTCCACTTCGAGGTCATAGTATTTGCCCAGATTATATCTAAATGCTCTTAAGATTTTTTTTTTTTACTGACCAAACACCAAAAAATAAGTATAAAAAAAAATACTTACTCTTTAGGAAAAATATTTCATAATACACACACCCTAGGCATTTGAAAATTTATTGGTAGAATCATTTGAGATTATAGCTATGGTTTTACTCTTTTATTAGGCAAGTATAGGCTTTACGTTACTTTCTTTGCTAAGTTTGCTCTGATTATTTTGCGATTATTACTTATCAATCGAGTTATTTAACAAACTCAATCATAACTTAGTGAAGTATTTTTTTTATAAAGAGAACTCATGGATAATCTCTATCTATCTATCTATCTATCTATCTATATATATATATATATATATATATATATATATATAT